ACCTGCACGGAATCGCCCTTCGTGTCATGAACTCATGATAATGTAAATGAAATGGCACGGCATCACCCTTCGTACTTTTACTCTCAAAACATAGCACATCATCACCCTTATAGCTTTTACTCTCAAATCATATGGTACGGCATCGCCCTTCATGATTTACACTCACATATCATAGCACGACACCATCTTTCGTACTTTACACTCACATAACATGGCACGGCATCACCCTTCGTGATTTACACTCATATAACTTGGCACGACATCACCCTTCGTGTTTTACACTAACATAACATGAACGGCATCACCCTTCGTGTTTTACACTCTCTCTTACCGAGCATATGTATATTAACGACAAACAATTTAGGAAGCGTAAATAATGTCAAGGAGAGTGTTTAAACGGATATTCCAAATGAATCCCAATCACAACTTTCAAGTCAACAATAGTTCAATAAACCCTCAACAACCTTATTATTAAAGTACTTCAACAAATCTCAAGAATATCAGCCGTAGCAATCTATTAATGATTAAGCATAATGATGACTGAATTAGACACATCAATGTTTCTTAGAATTCCGTCAAATTGTAATCAAGTTATAAAGAACTGAATCTTGGTTTCTAACATTTAATTCTATGTTCTTAGTATCTAGGAGTCAAGTAAGACATGAAGCAAGAAGGTCACGTAATTCTACAAGACACAATTTATAACATAATACCCCCGAGCATGATTAACCCTGGCACATGCATATATACTTGTCACCTCATATATGTATCACCCCCGCATGTAGAAAACAATGTCAAATAGTAGGAAAAATTCCTTCAACAAAGCTAGACAAGACACTTACCTCATTCCAAAAATCAACTCAAACCTCAACCACGGCTTTGCCTTTCAAACAAACCTTCGAACCAACCAAATCTAGAAATTACCAACCAAATGATTCAAAATAAGCCTTAGGAACTACCCACCGAATGAAAAAGGTTCAATTTAGGTCATTATTGAAAAAGTCAACAAAAGTCAACTCCGGGCCCGCTTGGTCCAAACCCAAAATTCGGATCGAAACCTGATCACCCATTCATCCCCGAGCCCGGTTATGTAATTTATTTCGAATTTCGACCTCAATTTGAGGTCTAAACTCAAATTTTACAAAAATCCCTAATTCTACCCAAATCCCCAATTGCTACCATGAAAATCCTAGATTTTAGGTTGAAATCTTTTGAAATGTGATGGAAGATTGAAAGAGAATAGGTTAGAATCACTTACCAATAAATTGGGGGAGAAGAGCTCTTGGGAAAATCGCCTCTGGGGTATCTAGGTTTGAAAATTTGAGAGAATGAACTAAAATCCCGTTTTTCAGCTATTTGTCCAGTCGTAGATGTCGCATTTGCGACCTAGGGTTCGCAAATGCGAAGAAACAGTCACAATTGGGAATTCTTCCTATTTCTGTCGTCATCGCAATTGCGAACAATGGACCCTCCGCAAATGCGACCAAAATGATCGCAAATGCGAAGAAGCTCTCCCAAGGTGGACTTCGGAAATGCGAATACTGGGTTCGCAAATGCGAACCCAGTATTTGCGAACCCAGTAGGCTTGGCAACATTTCGCAAATGCAAACTCAGACCTCGCAATTGCAAGATCTGAGGCATGCACCAGAAATAGTTGCACCAGTTATTTTTCCTAAGTCCTGAACCACTCCAAAGCCTAACTAAAACTCACCTGAACCCTCGGGGCCCTAAACCAAACACGCACAAAAGCCCGAAAACACAACACGAACTTGCTTGTGCGGTCAAAACATCAAAATAACCTCTAAAAGCATGAATCGTACACCAAAACGCATGAAGATCAAAATAATGTGCAAGAAATTCTAGAATAGCAATCAAGCGTCCAAACCATATCAAATCAACTCCAAATGGAGCCAAATTTTTCAGGCAAGTCCCATATGACAAAACAAACCTACTAGAGGCTTTAAATCATGCATAACAACCTCGAAACGATGAATCGCACCTCAAGTCAAAATTAATGAGCTTTGAAACTTCAACTTCTACAACCGATGTTGAAACCTATCAAATCACGTCCAATTGACCTCAAATTTTGCACACAAGTCGAATTTGACATTACGGTCCTACTCCAATTTCTGGGATCGGAATCCAACCCCGATATCAAAAAGTCCACTCCCGGTCAAACTTCCAAAAAATCCAACTTTCGCCATTTCAAGTCTAATTCAACTATGGATCTCCAAATCACAATCTGAAGGCGCTTCTAAGTCCAAAATCATCCAAAAGAGCTAACGGAACCGACAAAACTCCATTCCAAGGTCAAATGCTAAAAAGTCAAACTTGGTCAACTCTTCCAACTTAGAGCTTAAATGTTGAAGTTCATACTTCTAAATCGATTCCGAATAACTTGAAAGCCAACACCGACGATTCATGCAAGTCATAATACATCATGCGGAGATACTCGAGCCCTCAAACTATCGGGAGAAATGCAAATGCTCAAAACGACCAGTCGGGTCGTTACATCCCCTACTAATTAAACATACGTTCGTCCTCGAACGTGCCAGGAGTCATTCCAAAGCTTTCAAATCACGGTGTAACCTTACTATGCACATACCCGGGGGTGATCCCATGTCACCCTGCTCCATATAAGACTGTCAACACAACATAACTAGAGATCCTTGCTTCAACTTTGGTCCTTTAACCTTAGAACCCAATATCCAACAGCCTGAATTCATTATAAGGCCCGAATCTCACATCTACACATTGTATAAGTCTGAACAACCGCGGGTTTGCCTTTCAAACAAGCCTCCGAACCAACCAAATCTTACCAACCAAATGATTCAAAATAAGCCTTAGAAACTACCCGCTAATGAAAAAGGTTCAATTTAGTTCATTATTGAAAAAGTCAATAAAAGTCAACTCCCGGGCCCACTTGGTCCAAACCCGAAATTCGGACCAAAACTGATTACCCATTCATCCCCGATCCCGGTTATGTAATTTGTTTCAAATTTCGACCTCAATTTGAGGTTTAAACTCTAATTTTAATAAAACCCCTAATTCTACCCAAATCCCCAATTTCTACCATCAAAATCCTAGATTTTAGGTTGAAATCTAATGAAATGTTATGGAAGATTGAAAGAGAATAGGTTAAAATCACTTACCAATGAATTGGGGGACAAGAGCTCTTGGAAAAATCGCATCTAGGGTTTCTAGGTTTGAAATTTTGAGATAATGAGCTTAAATCCCGTTCTTTAGCTATTTATCCAGTCGCAGATGTCGCGACTTGGGATTTGCAAATGCGAACCCTGCAAATGTGAAGAAATAGTCGCAATTGCGAAGTCTTCCCATTTCTGCTGTCATCGCAATTGCGATGAATAGTTCACAATTGCGAACAATGGACTCTCCGCAAATTCGACCAAAATATTCGCAAACGTGAAGAAGCTCTCCCCAGGTGCACTTCGCAAATGCGGACTCAGACCTCGTAATTGCGAGATCTGAGGCATGCACCAGAAACAGCTGCACCATCTATTTTCCTAAGTCCAGACCACTTCGAAGCCTAACTGAAACTCACCTGAGCCATCGGGGCCCCAAACCAAACACGCACACAAATCCAAAATACAACACGAACTCGCTCGCGCGGTCAAAACATCAAAATAACCTCTGAAAGCACAAATCAGACGCCAAAACACATGAAGATCAAAATAAACTTCAAAAACTTCTAGAATCGTAATCAAGCGTCCGAACCATATCGAATCAACTCCAAATGGCGCCAAATTTTGCAGGCAAGTCCCATATGATTAAACGAACCTACTTGAGGCTTCAAATCACGCATAACAACCTCAAAACGACGAATCGCAGCTCAAGTCAAAATCAATGAGCTTTGAAACTTCAACTTCTACAACCGATGCCGAAACCTATTAAATCACGTCCAATTGACCTCAAATTTTGCACACAAGTCACATTTGACATTACGGGCCTACTCCAACTTTCGTAATCAGAATCCGACCCTGATATCAACAGGTCCACTCCCAGTCAAACTTCCTAAAAATCCAACTTTTGTCATTTCAAGTCTAATCAACTACGGACCTCCAAATCACAATCTGCACACCCTTCTAAGTCCAAAATCACCCAACAGAGCTAACAGAACCGATGAAACTCCATTCCGAGGTCAAATGCTAAAAAGTCAAACTTGGTCAACTCTTCCAACTTAGAGCTTAAATCTTGAAGTTCATTCTTCCAAATCGATTCCGAATAACTTGAAAGCCAACACCGATGATTCACGCAAGTCATAATACATCATGCGGAGATACTCGAGCCCTCAAACTGCTGGGCGAAGTGCAAATGCACAAAATAACTAATCGGGTCGTTACACAGCAAACAACTTCTCGAAGTAAAATGGTGAAATACAATAGAAATCTTCTATACTGCTATATATATTTGTCGAAGACCCCGTTTGACATTTAACATACTACTACGAAAATTTTCGTATTTGTAAATTCTGTGTTGTCCATCATTATTTGCATAGTAGTGGGAATATTGATAAACTAGTTTTAAGTATTTTAAGTGAAATGATATTTTTTACTCACTACTATTTAACTATATTTTAAGGTAAAATATATGTCTAAACATAATTTAACTTCAAATACTTTTTTTTTCCAACTTTAACCAAATGTTGTCCAAACGCCAACCAAATCTCTTAGTGGGTATTATAGTTTTATTCTGGTCACTTCCTTTTTGAAGATGACTAACCATAACTATATGCGCATGGTGTTTATCTTTCTAATTATTAAACAAAAATCTAATAAAGAAGAGGAGTCCTCTTCCTTTTAATTATTGCTGATATTGCACAACGTACAAGAATGGGTTCTCTCATTATTCATCTCATCTTGGAGGCTAAAACTTAAGGTTTATGTCTTCCTCCATGTATTCTTTTTACGGTATAATCAAATATTACAGGTAGGGATCGTGCCGAACGTCCCATAGCTTTGGTGTTAGCTTGAATAAAAAAATAAAAGTAAGATATTATCAGTATTTCTTTATGCTGCAAGTAATGGGTAGAGGCACAGTTTATATGTTATACTCTCAAAGCTTTTCTCTAATGCATCAGACAATGTAGTAAATAGTCAACGAATGGACCATTCATGCATCAAAATCGAGCTAACTTTCTTTGTGAGTGTGTATGTGTGTAAAAAACTAGTAACACAAAAGCTAACATTCCCACTTTCAAGCTTGTAAAGTCAAAAAGATTCAAAATCACCAAGTCTTTCTCTTATCTGTCATTTTCTAACAATTTCTTGATCACCATCCGTTCAAAGGTCGTGAAATTTTGCATTAGGATAGGTCACCTACATCACACCCCTTAAAGTGCGACTCTTCCCTGAACCCTGCGTGAACGCGGATACTTCGTGCACCGAACTGCCATTTTGATCGGTTCAAAGGCCATCAATACCTTTTGGGCGTTGCTGAAAGAGCATGAAGAACCGGCAATGTTCTTTCTTTCAAATATTGTGATAAACACCAATTAACCAAATGACTGCATAATTTCTTGAAACATTAATCATTAATGATTTAAATGGAACTAAGTTATTACTACTTCAGAAATCTAGGTTTTCTAGATTCTTAATGAACTTTGTTTTGGTTTTTCTTAAAATGCAGGAGGGTAGTGGAAAGCCTACACTTAATTGTTGTCATATCTCCTATAGGTTTACATAGCTTATCTCTTTTCTCAGCAGGATGTCTACCTCACCTTTTTATATCATTCATTTACTTCATTTCTAGTCAGATGTTTTTCATTGTCTTGTTTTCTCAACTCAAACCTAAGAGCTATAGGAATAATTAAACCTAGTCCTGTTTGCACAACCAAAAAAAAAAAAAAGAAAATACTCTAGCAAGTAGGTTGTATACTTTTCCATATACAACCGCTAGAAGTAGTGTTCACAGGGTTAACTTCTTTGCATTGAAAGTATAATAATCTTTTGCATTATCAAGTTACTAAAAGTATTTAAAGCTACCCATTGTCAACGGTAATACTAAAAACCTGCAAAATAGGACAAGTGTAGCATTTTAAAAACAAGTTAATTTATACTGATAGTGGAAACGATTAACTGTGAATGAATACAAGATTAATCAATAGATCAATCAGTTGTTACATGTGCCTTCGAGTTGACGATAAATCTGCAAAAATGCACCACTTATATGAGAATCTGTTTCATAATGTTCAAGAACATGCCTAAACTTGAAGCCAATGCACATAGACTTTACACCAACAGTACACAAACAAAACTCATTAGTCTGGCAATACAGTAATAGAATGTAAACTTGAAGAATAAAAGCTTATGATCATATAGGTAATACAAGTATACAACAAATATTTGCGTAGCTGATAAAGTTGTTGCCATGCGACCAAGAAGTCACGGGTTCATGGAAACACCCTCTTGTAGAAATACAGGTTACGGTGCGTACAATAGTCCCCGCACATAGCAGGAGCTTAATGCACCGAGTTGCCCTTTAGTACCATCAGATTTAAATAAATACTCAGAGGTGCTTCAGTTGACCAAAGTAAATCTTTAAGACATGGCAATGTAAAACAAGTTAGATGAAAAGGTTAAGTTATTTGTACAGATAGCATCTCCAATACCATAAACCACAATCGTGTGTGTGTGTGTGGAGAGAGAGAGAGAAAGAGTGTGTGTGTGCGTGTGTGTGCCTTTGTGCAGAAAATTAAAAGAAGAAAGGGTTTTGAGCAAAGCAGAAAGCCAGAAAACAGATCTGAAAATTTTGCAGAAAGAGACCAAAAAAAGCCAATATGACTACAATCATAACACAATGATGAAAAAAAGTAGTATGTCTTATTTACTGACAAAAGAAACCTAAGGTTATGAAACACAGAGTATGTAAAAAGGTTGTAATGATGAAAAATGAGAATCAGAACTCAAAGACTAAAGTCAAGATCCTTATCATTACACCAATCTGCAGATATATAACGGACATACCAAACTAGGTTAATAAACAAGTACAAATTTGTCCCAAATGTTGAATATAGCACTTATAACTGACTAACAAATAAAATAAAAAGAAATTAAACATGGGCCTCACCTTATTTATATACCAAAAAAGATCTTAATCGCGATACTAATATATGGCAGCAATCTTTGAGGGGAATGAAGCCTGGTCCGACGACGCAAAAATATATGACCAAATTCATAGATCTAACAACTAGCAATTATAGATCTATATAAGATCTAAAAATATATACAACATATATAATACTAGATCTGTGTAAAGAATTTGATCAAGATTAAAGATTCCTCGAGCCAGACAACATTCCCCACAATAGAAAAGCTCCCTTTCTTGATTGTTAGGAGTTCTTTTTTCTCCTTATTTGTGTAGTTTCCTCTCTGTCCCTCTCTTATCTTTTTATCCCCCAAGACTTTCGCCTTTCTTTTAGGGGGAGGAGAAGAAAAGTTAAGAGCGAGAGAGAGTGTGTGATGATGAAGAGAATGATTTGTTGTTTGGGGGATTATAACGAGGGTAAAAAGGAGTTGAAGACTTGAAGGCCAAACGTGAACAGGACAAAAGCTATGGGCAGACTCTGACCCTACCAGCTGGACTTCCAGAAATGACCACGAACCCCTCCCCCACCCCTCCCCTCCACTTCTCACCTCCTTTCTCAACAAGAAAATTATTACTCCATCCGTTCCAATTTATGTAAACCCGTTTGACTGAGCACGAAATTTTAAAAAAAATGAAAATTTTTGAAATTTGTGGTTCTAAACAATTCAAAAGGGATCCAGAGTATTTGTGTGGTCATAAAATTTTCTCATTAATGGTAGAATTGGAAGTTTAAGCTAAATTATTTCCAAATTTAGAAAGGGGTTATTCTTATCGAAACGGACCAAAAAGAAAATAGGTTCAGATAAACTGGAACGGATAGAGTACTTATTTTGGGGGCTTGTTTGGAAAGCCACCCTATAATTGGATTTGGGTGTAATTACACGATTTTGGCATGTTTGTCTAATCAAATAATTATTTAGTCAGCATGTAATTGGATGTAATTCAGGGCGTGTAATTACATTCTGTAATTCTCAATGGGGAGCTGAGAATTGCTGTTAATTTTCAATCTCTTTTTTTTTTAATTTACTTTTTATTCCTAATCTTTTTTTCTTTTTAGTTTATTTTTTTAATGTTCAATTGTTTTTTTCAAATATTATTTTTATTTTTATTTTCTTATTTCTGATTTCCCAATCTTTACTTCACATGTTTCTAAATAATTTCTTATATTTTATTTCTTTTTTAATTATTTTTGTTTATTTTTTTATTACACTTTGGCTACATTATAATTCTAATTTTCTAAAAAACTATACCTTATAATCTTGGAAAGAATAAGTCATCCACAAACTTGACTTATAATGAGTGATGTCATTAAAGTTAAACTTTGTTATTGGATAAAATTATATACAAACTTAACTATGTTAACATGATATATTACTTTTTAATAGTTAAATAATATTCTCATTTTTCAACTTTTAGTTTTTGTGATTCCATATAGTTGCTCATATTTTTTATTTTTTCATTTAGCAAAATTGTGCTATTATTCTAGTTTTAAAACTGCTCCTCCTAATATTAAAAATAATAATTTATTAATAAACTTAGCATAAAGTTAGTGATGTTGTTAAAGTAGATTCTCATTGTTGAATGAGGTTATAGGCTTATGTTTTCCTTTTCTTTTGAATATATTTATTTAAAGTATGTTGAAACTTATTTTATGTTATGTTATAATTTTACATAAGAGTATTATGTTAATTTTTTTTCTTTTGGATTTTGAATATATATTATATTTTCGCTTTCATTTTATTTGCTTTAGTAGTATTCACTTAATAATTCATATTGCTATTGCATGCCATTCATTTTCAGTTAGAATTGATAGATTATTTTTTCGTAAATATTTGAGTAATGTTATGGCATTATATTTATAAATATTAATAATCTTATCAAGCATGCAGTATATAATGTTCTTACAAAATATGTACTATTAGTTTTTGTAATTGATTAAAGTAAAATATTATTAATTTGAAAAATATACAACAATTATTTTTACAATATTAGTTACAAATATAATATTAGTAATTAATATTTTTCCAAAAACAATATCTATCTTAAATAAAAAATTTAATGTTGTTTATAAATGCATGTATTTGTTAAATCTTAACTTTTAATTTTTGATAATTAACTTTATATTTTAAAAGTTAATCTAACTATGTAATTACATTTATGCAACCAAAACAGTACACTTGTAATTACACTATGACCAAAAAAAAAAAAAACAGGTCGTCGTAATTACAATACTCTGTAATTACTACCCTAGTAACTACACCAATTTAAATTACCTGTTGGCTTTCCAAATAGACCCTTGGTTTCTCACCCAATATTCAGTATTTTATATTTATTCGAATTTGGGTGGCATAATGCCCGCTAAAAGGCGAACTGTTTCATAATAGGATTTTTTTTTTTTTTTTTCATATTTAGGGCTCAAATCCAAAATTACTGATTAAGAATGAAACGATCTTATTCATCATATCCCAACCCTTATAAGTCAATAAGAAAACTATCAGCAAACTATTTAATGTAATATTAATTGTAAGAGTTATTAATTAAATCGTCTTTTATCACAATTCAGACTCTTGACATAGAAAAACTCTCTTCGTGTCAATTTAAATGAGCTAGTTTGACCCGGCATAGAGTTAAAGGAAAAAAAATGAAGACTGTTGAAACTTGTAGTCTTAAAAACTGAGGGTAAAAAAATTTTTGTGTAGTCATAATTGTATGGCTATAAAACCTTCTCTTAATGATACAACAACAACAAACCTAGTAATTTTCCACAAGTGGGGTCTAGGGAGGATAAGATGTACGCCGCCTTACCCCTACCCCTAAAAGGTCAGAGAGGTTAAACCCTCGGCTAGAGAACGACTGAAAAAGAAAAGGTAATTGTAACAAGTAGGAATAATAGCAAGATGAAATTAAATCAAATCCAAGAATGCAGTCAAACTCTAGGTAGTAATAGTCATCTATGAATATAGGATATCATACTAACACTAATGCTAGCGAACTGAGTAAGACAAAGAGAAATACTCAACTACCTACAAACCTTCTACCCTAATCTTTGACCTCCACACCCGAGTCTAGGGCCATGTCTTCAGTCAGCTCCAGCTACCCCATGTCGCCTAATAACCTCTCCCCAAGATTTCTTAGGCCTACCTATACCCCTCATGCTGCCCACCAAGGCTAACCGCTCGCACCTTCTAACTGGGGCTTCTAAACTTCTCCTCTTAACATGCTCGAACAATCTCAACTTCGCCTCCTATATCTTATCCTTCACAGGGGACACTCCCTCATTTTCCCTAATAATTGCATTCCTGATCTTATCCAACCGGGTATGCCCACACATCCACCTCAACATCCTCATCACAGCTACTTTTAGCTTCTAGGTATGAGAGTTCTTGACCGGCCAACACTCTGCTCCATACAACATAGTCGGTTGTAGAACTTACCTTTAAGTCTCATCGGCACATTCTTATCACACAAGACACCGGAAGCGATCTCCACTTCATCCATCCTACTCCGATACGATGCGTGACATTCTTTTCTTAATAGAATAATAACAAATTAAAAGAGTACTTATTATGAACTAAATTCGTTTGGTAATAACAATTTAAAATGGAACGGAGGTATTTCCTCCGTCTCAAATTATTTGTCGTGGTTTCTAAAAATAGTGGTCTCAAATTATTTATCATTTTATAGGTTCAAGAGTAACTTAATTATTTTTTTCCTATTCTACCCTTAATATTAATTGTTCTTGAAGACTACAATACCTTAATTTTGAGTAAGTATTAAATGAAGAGAAATTATATCTTAAGACATAAATAAGGGTAAAATAGTCAAAAACATTTTTTATTTAATATGTATAAGGTCAAAACTGGGTTCGTCTATTATTTCTTCAATCGAGCCTGAAACATGGCAGGTCAAAGCTCGAGCTCGGGTTATATCGAACGCAAAATTAGATCGTCGAGCTCGAGACCAAGTGACTGAGCAAGATCGAGGGAAACTTACCGAGCCAAATATCGGAAAGCCAAAATATCCGCAATCGGTCGAGGATAACGGTGAAAATCTCGGCACGTATCAAGAAAAGGCCGGTTAATTAGCAAATCATGAGATTTTTTACCTTGTATAGAATTATATCAAAAGTAGAACACCCCCACTATATAAAGGGGGGCTCTGATCATTTGTAGGACACATGGTAATACGCAAAAAGAAAGCAATATACTGACCATTTCTAGTTCTTATCATCTTGTTATTCAGTTGTAACACTAGTTGAGACATTTCTTGGCTCGAGGGTGATCAAACTCAGAGGCTAAGGCTGTTCAATCTTGTGGTTTGCATTATTTTGTTATCGTTAATTTCAATATTAATCTGTCTTCTTAATTTGTATCAATTATATCACGTATCCTTAAAACCGCGTACAAATTTAATTGTTATCCTATTTTAAGGGTAAACAGTTTGGCGCCCATAGTGGGGCTAAGGATAATAGTGATTCCCCGATACAAACTTTCATAACACACACTATTTTACACTTATTCTTTGGAATATCTTTGATTCCAGGACCAGAATGTCGAACTCTCATTCAGCACCCCTACACGTTGACAATGATTTCGGCCACCACGGCGAAAGTGATAACATAGCACCAGGGAACAACTTACCCCCAATTGGCCTCGATAGAGTTCTAGCTGTAGATCTCTTATGACCCAAACTCGGGGAGCGCGAACGACGCTCAATCGAGTGAACCCGGTCAAGCAAGCCTGTTAGATAATTTCTACCCAACTCACTCATGATTAAGAGAAGACATATTTTCATTAATTAGACCGTAGGGAGATCATGTTTACAATACCAAATCATTTCATTAGTTACTTCTTTCCAAAGTCTTAAAATACATACATTTCCATAGTCTAAAGTGGCACAGTGATTCAAAACATAATATGATTTGTTTGGCTCTCCCCAACACCGACATACAACCCATACTATGTCTACAGAGCCTCTAATAATTACAAGGAGTACAATAGTAGTGCCGCAACAAGGCTCCAGCTATACCTAAAAATATGATAAGAAAAATAACAAAAGATACATGACCCCGGGATGAAGTGGGGCTCACCAAGTCTGCTGGGAAGAGGATGCATGACTATCGCTGATCAACACCACCTGCTATGGAACCACCTGCATCCATTTCAAGATACAACGCCCCCGGCAAAAGGGACGTTAGTACTGTCGAATAGTACTAGCATATATGACTAAATACCCTCTCAAAAGAACGAACAATAATGCAAGTATGTACAATCATAATAATCAGTTAAAGCCTTGAACAATTAACAAATATCAATTTAGGGACAAGATAAGTTTTCAATTAAATTCTCATAATTTTTAAGTTGGGGAAAGTTTTTAGTACCGATATGCCACTATTCACCATTTCAAT